ACTGTATTACAATAAGCTAATTTTAAGGGGGGGGTTGTCCTTTGATTTCCAAAATACAGAGAATTTGCACTTACCTGCCCTTAATTGAGGGTTATATACCGTATAACTGGATTTTTCTACGGGGTGCTATTTTTTGCGAAATTCTGCGATCAAGTCTTAATCGCAAAATATTCAATCGCAAAAAATACGTAAATAAAATCCGGAATTTTCAGTTCCGATCATCGAAGCTCTACTTTTACAGATACCGGAAGTATATGTAAATAATGCCAATGCACGTTTTCAATCGTATTTTACAGGTAATTTACTTGATATCAACAACAATGATTGTTTTTCGAATAAATAAAACGAATTCCTAAAGATTCAATATTTATTTGTTCCTACATTGTATTTCATGATTTATTTATATGAAACCCGAATAGCAATTGTCGGTTTGGCCAGAGACATATATGTCTCTGGTTTGGCTATTCCGCGGCTTGGTCGTGTCCTTCACCAGTGTTTACCAGATTTTTCTTAATCGGTATTCTGTCCTTGAGAAAAGAATTTCTTGTGTGATATTTTCTCTACTGGGATTATATAAACTCTTTATAATCATAAATAAAAGTTCATAGTCTATGGGAACTTACTGAAACGAAATTTCAAAGAATGATCGTCTCGATTTCAATTCAAAATAATTGTGACTTTGTTTCTAATTTACTCTGTGAATAATAACCCGTTAATTATAACAACACACGGATGACCCACAGGTGTGGTGTCATTTATGTAAACACCCAATTAACAGCCCAAGGCCTTCGCTCACTGTTTCCAGGTAAGTCCAGACTGCATCTATTTTACGCTTGATTGGCGTGTATACAAGCGCAATCAAAACTTCGAGAGATAGACAGTAAAAAAAAAAAGACTATTGTCAAAGTGAAATCGCAAAAATTGAAATCGCAAAAAATAAATATACCTATTTCATGATCAAATCGCAAAAATTTGCACCCGCATTAAAAACCAGTTATACGGTACGCATGAGAGCATATTAAACGGCTCGATCCTTATTAAATAACAACCAATACCCTACAAAATGTATGACGACCAAGGAAAAAAATTGATTAAACAAACTTAGTATCAAGATTTTTAAAACACTCATATTATTCTGATTCCGATCCAGACTTTGACCCAGCATTTTTAACGAGTCAATTAACCAATTAATACACTTAAAATGAACCATACGGAGATAACGAACAGTAGGCAAGATCAAAAGTCCATTTCACAATACAAAACAGGAGAAGAGCAAACACGGTTCTCCAAAACATCAGACGTGGGATCAGGTGCCTTGGAGGCGTGAGCATCCCCTACCGACTTAGAAAGTATGATGCTTGACCCATTGTATATACTAAATAGTTTTTGAATTTCACAAATAAACGCAGAGGAAATTCGAAAAATGTTCTTTTGATAAAACAATAAAACGGCAAGTTAGTAGGAGTAGATTAACTACTATATGCAGAAAAATGAAAACGTCATCAAAACATTGTACAAAATGTTTCAGTTACACTTTTATATTTGAATTGTATCAAATACAATAAACTAATTATATACCCGATTACTAAAGAAAACGAGACGGATCATCTGATTTCTTTGAATAACCGTCAAATCAGGCTTTAATTTTATCTATTTATCTGACATAAAGAAGATACTTGAGTTTCTGCTTGACAATTTCTCTTTGATTTTTGGAGACCAGGTATTCCAACAATCTATTTGAATTCCCATGGGTGCAAATTGCGCTCCGTTATCAGCAGTATTATTTTTATATTCAAATGAAGCAGAAGCAGAGTTTATGCAAAATCTTATGCATGAAAAGAAGAAAACAATTTCCTTCAACTCGACATTTAGATATTTCAACGACGTATTATCAACTTACATTGGTCATTTCTATCCCTATGTCGATGCGATATATCCTGGTGAACTTGAGATAAAAAAAAGCCTGACACTTCTGTTTCATACTTAGAAATTTTACTTGAAAAAGACACTAATGGTAATCTAACAACCAAGCTATATGATAAACTTGATGACTTTAACTTTTCTATCGTCAACTTCCCTTACTTATGCAGCAAAATACCTTCATCACCTGCAAACGGGGTATATATATCTCAGTTGATTCGATACGCAAGAGCATTCTCTACGTATGAACAATTTCTAAAAGGAGGTAAATTATTGACAAGCAAGTTGATGAAACAAGAATATCAGCAGTCTCGTTTTAAATCGTCATTTCGTAAGTTCCATGGTCGATACAATGACCTTGTCAGCAAATACAATTTATCACTAAGTCAAATGTTGACTGACATTTTTCATACCTATTGTGAGTTCATTATTTATACACTGAATTGACGACCGATTTTTTCCGTTATTTCCTGATCATGAAAAGGAGCACACGGCGGGTGTGACTGGTCGGCAGGGGATGCTCACTCCTCCAAGGCACCTTATCCCACCTCTGATGGTTCGGGGTCCGTGTTTGCTCTGTTTTTATTCTGCATTGTTTTATGGACTTTGAGATTGAATACTGTTCATTATCTCAATATCCATCTATGATATTTAAAATTTATTCCCTCAAAATGGTCGGATTATGAACGTTCGGAAAGTTATTTCTCAACTGTGTTGCTCCTATTTTAGATTACTGCTGTGGAATTAAGGAAACCACAAATTATTATTGTACAGTAAAGGTGAAGTCCCGTGTCTTTCGGTTTTTTCTTGAATAACACTGATTAACGCCATTGATTGCAATCCAAAAAAGAATGTGCTTGAATGCCATCTTACCATCGGCATTATATTAATTTCTTGCTATTCAAAAAAAACCGTCTGACAAAGAAAAATGGTATCCGGACCAAAATCACAGAACGAATTTAATTACTATTTGAATCGCTGAATGTAGCGGATATATACACACACTTATCGACATGCAGCTTAGAACTTGTCGAAATTCTCATAAGATCAGAACACAGTGGCTAGAAGATTTACAACAAATCCTCGAACTCAGAAATTACAGGGTTTTTTTCAAAATCAAAACGAATTTGAGGAGTACGTTAATATGGACTTAAATAAAAACCACCTATGGCAATGTTTCGTTGCAGTGTATAACCACTCCAAATTGGAACTGGACATTATAAAGCTTGAATAATATGAAATTAAAAGGATACTTCTTTTGTAAAATAAGATTAGATAGTTGTCAAATCTTTCATTAAATGAATTTATTTTGTACGAAATTTCCAGACATTGAGCAAACTTTATATTCGATGCTTTTAAAACTCATCAGAACTTCACAAAAAGAACATTATATATCCTGGATTGTTGTTTATAACATTTATCACTGGCGGATCCTTGAATCTTGAAAAGAGGGGGTCCGACCAGTTTTCTGTTAGGGGTAGGGACCCATGGCCACACCAAAAGTATTGATTTATGAAATCGGAAGTTTATTTTAGTTACGATAGGGGACTCGGGTATACCTCCCCCCGCTCCTTATGAATCCGCCAGTGTTAACTACACACTAATATATCTCAATTGTAGCAGATTTAAAAATTAATCATATTATGTCTATTTATTATTTTGTATAACTGTTTAATTATTTAAAGTTGACTGCAGTATTTTATTATTTGGCCTAAAATGTAATCCAGTAACCTATTTATATCTTTTACTCCTCAGCAATGACCTAGATTTTGTACTTGTATTTCAAGTGAGGAGTTATTTTGTAACTTAGAGGAGTTAAATTATTGCGTCATGGGAGGAGTGAGTTTAATCAGTATATAAGGGGAAGAATTGTAGAAACGCAGGAGTAGTTAGGAAAGTTTTGACCAAGTCACTCGTTTGTTTTGTTAACTGTAAATAACTTTTTATTCGCGAAAACTTTATTTTTGCGTAATTACGCAAGACAGTGTACTCGCGAAAATTTAATTCTCGCGTATAATAGTATTCCTTTAGAACATATAGAGCAATAACCACAGTTCGCGACAATTTTGTCTCGCTATTCAAGAGTCAATGACTATCTCGCGAAAATAAGGTGTTGTGATAATTTAGTGATCTACAGTATTTGCTATGCTTTGGATTTATCGCCATTAATAAATTGTGAACTTTACGCTGTGTTTTCATTTAAGAGAAAAGGAATATAATAGTGTTTGTGGATTGAATATTAATTATTTAGGATTTACATGTTCGGAAAATAATAATAACGCTACACAATTCTTGTGTTCTCGGCCATTAACCAAAACATTCATCTGTTCACCAGAACAGCGATATGTCAAATTTTTTATTCCCTAGACTGATTTTTATCAATAACATCACCATGAGATTTAAATGGAAACCAAATAGGACTCTACATACACCGCTACTTATATATCACATGTGGATGATTTAAACATGTTGATGGTCTAGTCAAGAGTTTTTTTTAATTTAAAGCTAGAACAAGCAGCTGTCAATCTATAGGGCACTTGTGAACTTAGATCTACCAAGAAAGACACACTGTATTTCGCAACTTAATTTTATTAAGCTATTGTCATGAAGATATGGAGGGCAATTACTCTGCTATATTATTCCATGACGCGCACTAAAAAATCCTTTAATGTTTGATACACTGGAAAGATTAAATATTTCCATGCTGAAAAAAATGTTTCTCCTATGGAAAAAAACAAAAATACGAGTATATCTTAATTCCAAAGAAGAAAAAAATCTAAATTCATTTAAGAAATAACCAATGTAATCAAGTGAACATGATGTTATGTAAATCAATAACTAGGCTGGTACATTAAAATTCCTTAAAATCCTTATAGATTGAAAAGAATAATTTTCATCAAAATGGATTTTTGTGTACGTCCCTATGACAACTTGGTAATATAACATTTGAGTATGATAAATAGAATACAAAAATACTAGAAATAATTCAAATGTATAACTCTCCAGTCAGTAGTTGTTTTAAAAATGGATGTCTATAAAACATTAAGGAATAGTTCATAAATAACAACCAATGAAAAAGACGCACCCATATTTACCCTTTACAAGTAACTAGTAGTAGGTCGTGTGTGTGTGTGCAAACAGGTATGTCTACAATCTTAGTACAATGTAACAGAAATACGATCTATTCTCCTTTGTTTATTTATAATTATTATTTATATTTATAATCTTTCTTTTTTGAGATTTTTATTAAAATGCCTTAATTATTGTATTCTGTTATTTTTAAATAGGCGAAACTACTTTCGTTTTTAAAAACATGTGTACTCGTTTATAAAAAAAAGGTGACTCTCTCCCTCTCTCTCTCTCTTTCTCTCTCTCTCTCTCTCTTAATACCCTTTTGATAGATTTACTATGTACGCTTAATTTTGGAAACATGTCAAAGACACACTGGAACATAATAGGAAAACAGCCCGGCGGATCCCTTAATATACGTGTTATAGTTGCAACACGGTTGCTTAGCAACATTCATGTCTACCCTTGTAAATCATATTAACCAGCAAATAAAACATAATATAAATTTCTCAACGTATAGGTACTTCGTCTAATTAAACTTTAATTAAATATTTTGAATGCATTGATTGAGTTTGAAAACTGAAGGATATAGAGATAACGCACAGTATTCAATCTCAAAGTCCATAAAGCAATATAAAATAGGAGCATAACAAACAAGGACCTCCAAAACATCAGGGGTAGGATCAGGTGCCATGGAGGTGTGATCATCCCTTGCCGATCTGTCACATCCGCCGTGATTCGTCGTCAATTCGATGTGTAAATAATTAATATAATGAACTAACAATAAGTATGATAAACGTCAGTCAGCATTTGACTCAAAAATAAATTGTATTTGCTGACAAGGTCATTGTATCGATCATATATAGAACTTACGAAATGATGACTTTAAATGAGACAGCTGATATTCTTGTTTCATCAACTTGTTTGTCAATAATTTACCTTGTTTTAGAAATTTTTCATATGTTGAGCAGGCTCTTGCGTATCAAATAAACTGAGATATATAAACTACGTATGCAAGTGGTGAAGTCATATTGCTGTATAAGTAAGGAAGTTGACGGTAGAAAAGTTAAAGTCATCACGTTAAAGTTTATCATAGAGCTTGGTTGTTAGATTATAAAAACGTCTTTTTAAGGTAAAATATCCAAATATGAAACAGATACACGTGTCAAACTTTGTGGTATCTTTTATCCCAAGCTCACCAGGATACATCGTATCGACGTAGAAATGGAAATTACCATTGTTAATTGTCAATACGTCTATATATCTAAATGTTGAAGTACACAGACAAATACTACGGTACATAAAACTTTCACAGACGACAAAAAATTATCGGATGAATAAAGCATAATTAGACCTAATTTCCACTTTAACCCTGATCGGACATCGAAAACGCTTTTTTGAATAAAAAAAAGTCTTTGTGCGGACAATGTAAGTAAGTGTTGTTCTCTCTTAGCAGGAATATATTTATTCTATTTCGCATTTCATTGTACTTATTCCGTGGACTTCGTACTTTAATATCTGGAATTATTTATTACATCATCATCTTTTTTGAACAATTAATTTTTTGTCAGTGCGAAGAGATAATTTGAAAAATTAACTTCAGATTCAGCCTAATAAGATAAATCAAAAATGAATAAACAATGTATCTTGTTGAATTTGATGAATAAGGTACATTGATATTCTTACTGTACAACATACTGTAGAATTTTAGGGATGGCTAAATTTTTTAAAATATTTTTTTTAACAATTTAGTTTTTGTAAAAAATGAAACTCTCAAAATAGTTTTTAAAGGGTGTGAATTTGTTAAGCCATATATGGCGTATATATGGCATAGATTGAGACTAACTAAAATAAAAAAAAAACCATATATATGTATATATACCCCGGTAAATCTATTTTTTGTTACTTTTTGTAAAGATAGGACTTTCCTTTAAATTTCACAATTTATATCAATCGTGTTTCATAGATATCCACAATATGAAACAAAGATATAAATTTATTTATTTATCGACTATCTTAATATCAGACACATGCAGTTTATGGTCAGTTTTACTATAATTCTTATGTTTATGTTTAAGTTTCAAATCAATGAAAATTTAATTTGAACGTGAAAAGCAAATATCAAGTAAATGTTCCAAATATAAATATTTTTCAGCTCATATACACCATATAAAGCTTTAATATTTTCTGAAATAAATTAATGAAATTTCTTTCTGAATTGAAATAAAAACATTTCTTTTCAGGATATACAGCTGTATTATAATAGCCTGCTCTCAAGCACATTACGTCATTCGATGTCAATACTGCAAGGACGAGCCCGCTGTCTTCCACTGTGTTCCGTGTGGAGATGAACTCTGTCCTCGGTGTAAAGTCTTCTATCTAAAAAGTAAAGTTCCTTCTTGACAGAAAATCGCCCGTATGTCTGGTAGACTTCATCCAACTGACCAGATCAAAATGTGTGAAGTTCACGCATCTGAAACGTATGAGGCTTGTTGCGGAGATTGCCAAGTCCCTGTGTGTTTAACGTGCATTAAGGAAGTTCACAGAAAACACCCCATCGGAAGGATACAAGATCTTTACGAGAAACAAAAAGCCGAAACTGCTGATGAATTGTCTAAAATGAAGACACAGTTGAAGTCGGAGATCATTCAGAGAATTAAAGATTTTAAAAATGGAGAGAGGGAAATAAAAAACAGCCATAAAAATATTAGAAAGAAAATGAAGAAACAAGCTCAAGATTTTATTGATCATATCAGCACAATTTTGAAAGAAGCCTTGGATGAATCCACGAAAGACGAGAGAGAAAAAGTGATGGAAATATCTCAATATACAGCAGAAATGGAGAGCTTTGAACAAAACTTGGATCAATTGATTGAGAAATTTGAAACTCTTACTGAATCCAGTCATCCTGCCGACCTTATATTGTACAGAAAAAGAAATTCTGACACATTTAAGAGATTAAAATTTCCTGAAAAAATAAATCTCACTATGCCTTCATTTACAATTGGTCATTTCAACAAATCTCAAAATGAGCACCAGTTTGGTAAATTTACCAGAGGTCACATAAGCCATCTTAAATCAAGCGATGATAGCTTACAAGTTCAAGATCTTTCTGGGTCTAAACGTGTAAAATCATCTACCGAAAAAGTATCAGTACTTTCAGTCCGTTCAGTGAAAATAAGCGAAACAAACCCCCAAAAGAGAGAATTATATCACGTGTGTCGTGATGACAGATCAGCGTACATCAGTGGTTATGGTCCTGGCATTCAACTGATAGACAGGTCAGGGACAGAGCTGAATAACATCAATACTGACACTGAACCATCTGGTCTGGCTGTGATGCAGGACGGAAGTCTGATTTACTCTGACGTCTATAATAAAGTAATCTAGAGTGTCACTCAATAAACAGACAACAAGACTTATAAATACTGAGTATGATCCTTTTGGACTGTGTTGTACCAGGTCAGATGATATCCTGGTCTGTATGCAAGATTTCATGGTTTCGGTGCGAGTGGTAAGGTACAGCAGCAGTGGGAGAAAAACCCACGAATTCCAGACAGATCAGAACGGGGAGGGACTTTTTCTTGATCCAAGGTTTGTTTGTGAGAATATCAACGAGGATATCTGTATTAGTGATTGTAATACGTGTGGAAACAGTAAAGTGGTCGTACTGAGCAAGGCTGGAAATCTTCGGTTTACATATGACGGGAAGTGCGAAGCTGGGGCGTTAAAATATTTCTTTCAACCGCTTGCTGTAACTACCGACAGTCTGGGCCACATCCTTATCGCAGACAAGGCCAATGATGCCGTGCACTTGATTAGCCAAGACGGGATCTTCCTGTCTGTAATACTGACAGAGAATGATGGGATATCAGTACTATTCGAATCTCTGTAGACACGTCAGATAACTTATGGCTGGTAGAACAAGAAAAAGCCTGTATCAAACTGTATCAGTATTTGTTCCAAAATTGAAGGACCCGTTCATATACTGTGAACTTTCACAAATGTATATATTATCCTTACAAAATAACACGCCATCAAAACAAAATATACTTATTCCTATCTCGTATATAGGCAAATGATCTAATATACATGTTGACTTATTTTTTTGTATACTTTAATTTCGCCTCGTTTTAAATTCGCCCAAAGGAGGATAGGGCGAAAGGGGCGAAAATTTCCCTGTATACAGTATTGTTCGAAAAAAATATACTACGAACTTCAGCATCTACAAACGTATGTAGAACCACTTCCAACAAGATCATCTTCAATTTTTGGTAAAAGTATTTTTTTTTCCGAATAATCTATTTACTACAGATGTTAATGAAATAGCTTTGTAATTGGTTGGAATACATTGATCTTTGTTCTTAACTTTATAGACAGTTATAATTATTCCTCCTAATTTAAACATTTAAGGGACATATTTTCTCTAATTGCAACACTAAAAAGTAATCACAGCTGTTCTGCCACAGAATGCTGCTCTCTCTTTAAAATTTCTAACAGAAACCATGATTGACATTGGTAAAAAATTTAATAGACCAGAAAGTTGTACTGTGTTGAAAGTTTCATGTGTAAACAAGGAAATATGGGATGTTGTGGGAAAACAAGCTCATTCTTCTGATTTGTCTTTTCAAGAGATACAGAAGTCTGTGGACCAAGGTTTAGTACTAATAGTTAATATATAAGATGAATTGGCAAATTTTTATTGGAATGTCAATTTGCACATATTCACTGTTCTTCCTTTTTGGTTGGCCTCTGTGCCGAGAGATTTTACTAAAAAAAAATGTTTTGAAAACAACTCTTGCAGCCTTCAGACCTATAAATATTAAATGTGTTCACTATTGAAGTTTCTCTCAATGTAAATAGAAGTTTTGATAATTGTAAGGGAGAAACTGATATAGTGACATATGTGTCGGACAATCAATTAATCTCAATATGTCAGTAATGATACCCACTTATTAAATTTTTTTTGCCTTATCATTGATTATGTTAAAAAAATTACAAGAGCGAATTTTTCTAGTTCGTAAATTTGCATCCATGATTAATCTTGTTCATGTATTTAATGCCATATTTGTTGGACCTTTGTTTTTTGCAGAAACTTGGAAAGAGACAAAAAAGTCATAAAAATGTCATTAATTATGAATCGGAAATAGTTATTTCAGAAAATAGTGTTCAGGATATATGGTTGTTACATATTGTAAAAAAACAAACAGAATGGGAAATCAATTCGCAACCCATCAGTTGACTGTTGGGTTGAATCTGATTCATCCTTTTAAGGTTGGGGAGCAAGTTTTGAGGATAAATTTGCTGGAAGCTGTTAGTCTGTTTTAGAATCTAATTATATGATACATATTAACAAATTGGAACTTGGAGCTATTTAGTTTCACACTCAGAGCTCTTTTTGCGAGCTATTCAGATTCTCGCATATTTATTAACGTAGGTGTTGCCGGATGACCAAGCGTCTTATCCATTCTATTTGAATACTCAATAAAACACAATTCCAAAAAGGTTTCAAATGTATATTCTGGTTTTAAAATTACAATGATTCACTGGAATCGTACACGTGGTGTTCCTCGTTGCGCACACTCCCCTCTCGGGTTTTGGGACCTCAGAAGCTGAGTGTCTGTATCTAATAAACTTTTGCTTAGGAAATATTGTTGAAATTATCTCAAATTTAACTGGCTAAGGATGGAATTCACACATTTACAAAATTATCAAAGACCCGTGCATGTTCTAGCGTGACCACACTGCTCAACGCGTTATCGGCAACTCGGTTGTTATCGGATACTCGGTGCAGGAAAAAACAATGCAAAGAAAACGTAGGTGACTTTAAATTTCTTCATTCAATGATAATTATTTACTTCTGCAAACAAAGTTTGTGATTTTTGGCAGATAAATGATAATACTTTCAGCGGTAAAAAGCACGCTCCAAATCACACTCTTTCAAAAGATCTACAGCTCTTTAAAATAAAATTTAATCAAATTTTCTGAATATGTCAACATATTTTAGTCTTTGTAGAGGTCAGAATCAATTTGTTTTATAAAATAAAGTGATTTATTAACTATATAGACAATCATAAACCTTTAGATAAGCAGACATATATCAAAATTCAAATTATGGTTTCTTTTACGGGCATTTGAAATGTTTCGTTGGGCAAAAACATGTTATCGGAAACACGGTTGAAGTTGCCGGATAATTCGGCTTTTCACGGGTGCAGGTTATCGGAAACCTAGGTTAAAAAATTTCTTTCTGTTTCAACAAAAGATTAAAAAAAAGACGAAATTCCATAAATTCTGCGGTCAAGGCTTTCAGTTCTTAAAGAATAACAATAATTTGAATTTCAGCAAACGAAGTTTGTGATCTATGACAGATAATTGATTATACTTTCAGCAGCAGAAAGCACAAATCGTATCAAAAGATCTACAGCTCTCTCATATAATATTTTATCTTTAAAAAATTCGGATTATGTCATCACAATTTAACTTTTGTAGAATTCAAATTTAATTCATTCTATCAAACTGGTAGGGGGTATATTTATTCTCTGGACAATCAAATCAAGCCCCCCCTGGCCCCTCGGATACTACGCCCCTGACTATCCTATCTGTTTAATCATTTTCTCATGTTTTCCATTCAAGTGAATCTCTTCCCGTGGGAATCCGGGTTAGAATAGGTCCTCAGTACCCCCTTGCTTGTCGTAAAAGGCGACTAAATGGGGCGGTCCTCCGGATGAGACCGTATAAACCGAGGGCCCGTGTCACAGCAGGTGTGGCACAATAAAGATCTCTCCCTGCTCAATGGCCCTAAGTGCCGAGCATAGGCCCAAATTTGCAGCCCTTCACCGGCAATGGTGACGTCTCCATATCAGTGAAATATTCTGGAGAGGGACGTTAAACAGTATACAATCAATCAAGTGAATCTTTTTAAGCTTCAGGAGGTTTCAGACGTAAATCTTTAATTTATCATAACAATTACTTTTGTTTTATGATAAACTGAGTATTACATTATTATTATTTTTTAAATCAAGTTCCCCCATGATCCCCAGAATCACGTCACAGTTTGATTCATTTTCAGTTCCTCATATGTTTAACTTTTTTTACAGTCAGTGATTAGCGTTTTCAATTACACTTTGGGCGGGTGGAGGGGGGATTTTTGCTTCAATAAAACATCCAATAGCAATGCAATATCCATGTGAATCCCCCCTCGATCTATCTGAGATGAGCTCTATATTTACATACTGCATCTGGCCAATAATGACGAAGAGCACACTGCTGGATGTAACCGTTTATCAGGTGGTTCTTATTCCTTCTTGGTATGTTAAACAACCTCCTATGTCTTAAGAAATCCATGTTTACGATTTCGTAATTTTTTATGTCAATCTCTTTTCTCCTCAAAAGTTTTTATTCTACGTCATATAGCTTAGTCTAACGCCCTATTTGGAAATACATTTAACCACCCTCAATTTTATTGAGTTTGAACTCTTTAACGACGTTAGATCCTGATATTTAAAGTCTTAAACTTTTTTGCCAACTATATTTTTAGTTTCTACATACATAGCTTTATTAAAATTCAAATCAAAAAATGGGGGTCAATATGCTTCTTTTAGCGCTACATTACATTTAATATGACCTTTCTGCACTGAAATGTGTGTTTTAATTAAAAATTACTTCTTCGACGTTTTCCCTCCAATATTTTTATCCAATTAAAGCATAAAACTAAATTCATGCGCGGATCTAGAGGGGGGTCGGGGTCCCCCTGGAATTTAGCAGGTTAAAAAATGTATATACTATAAGAAAAAAACAGTTACCATGGACCCCCCCCCTGGAGAACTCAGACACCCCCTGGTAAGCGCTAACATGTGTGAAGTGGGTAAGAAAAGTGAAAGATTTGAAGCAATAGAAGTCACCATTCCCCCCCCCCCCCCACGAAATAGGTTTTTGACGTATGCCCGATTTTCCTTTTTTTTTTTTTTTTTTTGCTTTTCAAGAAATTTCTGGGATAGGATTTTTTTTTGACTGAGGTGGACCCCCCCTGGAAAAAATTTCTGGATCCGCGCCTGAAATTAACTCTAAGTATGTTTTAAAAAAGACACTTAAAAATTGTGACTTAGAAAAAGTTTCAAATTGCTTCGCATAATCAATTATTTGACCTTTCTGCACTAATAAAATGTTATTTTTCTGGCATTGAAAATATAATAGGAAAGAAAATTATTTTAAAGTCTTAAACTTTTTCTGATTTTAAGCAAATAGGTCAAAGTTATCTTGAATATTTAGAAAAGAACATCAAAAGTTGGGGTATATGGTGTACATTTTTAGATATTACCAAAAAAGTGTAAATTTTACGTTAAAATTGGCTCATTTTTTCCCGGATTTTCAGAATATATTTACTATATTTGTCACACTTTGCTGGTAGAATTTAATAGGAAACAAGCAAATTCAAAGAATTTTGGTCCCCCGCATTCGGTATCTTTGTGGGCAAGATATCATTTTTAAGGTCAAGGTTAATAGGTCAAAGTTTTTGGTATCCCATGGAAAGTCTTGCCATAAAGAATACATATATTTAAAATATGAAAGTCCTAGTTTCTACCGTTCAAAAGTTGTGACCAAGGTCAACGTTTTTGAAAAGTAGTAAAAACTCTAAGGTCAAGGTCAAAGGGTCAACGTTCTTGGCATGCAATGAAAGGTCTTCTCACAAGGATTACATACGTGAAGTACGAAAGCCCTAGCCCTTACCGTTTAAAAGTTATGGTCAAGGTTAAAGTTTTTTCAGAAGTACGTAAATCTCCAAGGTCAATCCAAAGGTCAAAGTTGTTCATATCCAATGAAAGGTGTTGCCTCAAAGAATACATGTGTGAAATATGAAAGTCCTCGTATCTAGCGGTCAAAAGTCGTGACCAAGGTTATAATTCTTAAAAAGTAGTTCAACGTCAAGGTCAAAAGGTCAAAGTTTTTTGTATCCAATGAAAGGTCTTCTTACAAGAATTAAATATGTAAAGAATGAAAGCTGTAGCCCTTACCGTTCAAAAATTATGGTCAAGGATATAGTTAAATATATGTACGTAAATTTCCAAGGTCAAAAGGTCAAAGTTCTTGGTATTCATTGAAAGATCTTGTCACAAAGAATATATACCTGGTATGTGAAATATGAAAGTCCTAGTGCCTACCATTCAAAAGTTATGGCCAAAGTAAGTAAAAGTTTGGAATTTTTTAATAAAAGTAGTTGAAGCTCCAAGGTCAAGGTCAAAAGGTCAAATTTGGTGGTACTCAAAGAAAGGTCTTATCACAAGAAATACACATATGGTATATGAAAATTATAGCTCCACTAAATCAAAAGTTATGGGCCAGGTTAAAGTTTTTGTGACGGACGGACAGACTGACGGACCGACGGACAGACAAATGAGATTTAATGTCCCCTCGCTTTCGCGAAAGCGGGGGACAATAATTTAATAGATATTTCAGAACCAGCATAACATATTTCACTGCAAAAAACAGCTTTGTGTGCAACCAGCATGGAAAAATAGGCATCCAAAATTAGCAGTACTGTTATAGTTTAAATGGAAAAAAACTGACCATTTTCGTCTATAAAACCTTCCGCCACAAAATATAGTCCCTAGCTTAATTCTACTTGAATGGAATTTAGTCGCGGTTTTTTCATTGAATATAGTTTAATTTGCATTGTAGAATTCAGTTTTATTGTTAGAAACTAAAAATGATGCTAAATTTTATGAATAAAGGACCTACGCGAAATACGCTCAAAATATCAGGATCGAATGTCCTTAATCGCTTTAGGCCAGTTAACTTATAAATTTATTCGTGTTGGAAAGTGTGAAGTGTGGATAATACCCCCCCCCCCCTCTTTAATGAAAAAAAAAATATATAAGAGTGTATAATACCTGGAAAATATATAATTTACCCTTCAAACACATTTATATGTCGTTATAGATTGTACTTTTTCTCACGTTTAAAGAATGTGCCTATTCGGTATTATAAAAAATTTTATAATACCAAATAGGACCTTTCATTAAACGTGAAAAAAAGTTCATTTTGCTAGCATATAACGACATATACATGTGTTTGACAGGGAAATTGTATATTTTTGAGGTATTATACACTCTTACATTTCTTTTCATTAAAAAAAGGGGGGTATTATCCATACTTCAGGTGCCTGTGTGTTGTTTAACGCCACCTTGAGAATTTTCAAGTCATATGGAGACGCCACCACTTGCCGGCGGAAATAACAATACTTGTCCTATACTCGGCACTTAGAGCCATTTAGCAGTGAAGGATCTTTTTTGTGCTAGCACCTATTGCGGCGTCCCACTTTGGGATACGCACTAGCAACGTATAAGGATCGACTCTTTATTTGGCGACTCTACAGCAGACACTCTTACCAAGGGCGACCTCGGTAGATTGAAATGAAATTTGTAACTAATACCATATTTAACAACAGGTCAAGATCATGCAGATATCAATGAGATATGCCAAAAACACACATTTTTTAAAGTAACATATTCTTAAAAGAGGTAAATAATAACATAAAATTAGTATTGTGTGCCAGCCACTTTATATATTTAGATTTCTTGCAAATTTCTGTCGTTCCTTTATATTTTTCCTAATCTATCTCAACCTTTGTTTCCGATAACCAAAACCGAAGTTTCCGATAACAAACTGAATTATTCAACCGTATTTCCGATAACATACTGAAAGTTATAATTGGGCATTTTTTGTCCGTTAATAACATAGTTGCAAGATTCTGACGATGTCTTCTTGTGGACAATCATTAACGCTAGGTAAATATAAGGATTTTGAATACAAAAGCTATTTACAGCATTGCCAATTGGAGAAAAACTTGCAAAACATAACAGATTTGACTTTTTAAGCCTTCTCAAGGCTAACAAATGCTATTCTTATACGTATCGAGGCTTTATACTATATCCATATTTATTTCTTTTTACAAAAATAACCATGAACATTCTCTGTTTCTATTTTAATAGAGTTTATTTGAAATAATTTACTACCCTGTAAAAAATTGTGATCAACCGAGTGTCCGATAACAACCGAGTTGCCGATAACGCGTTGAGCAGTGTGGTGACACGGCAGGAAAAAGAGACTGGTTTACTCAACCGTGCCTGTTAAATAGACTTGAAGAATTGGGGCTCCATAAAGGATAAAAAAGTAGAGGTCACCTACAGGATAACTGAGTATTATACAAATAAATACATACATGTAGAGTAAATGTGACAATACCTCCTTCCTTTGAAGAAGTATGAAAATACTTTTGAACACACATTTACATGAATAAAATCAACCGTTTCTTTAATTCAGAATTCTATATACAAATCAAAGTCTACTGAGATAATCAGCACCCTGGTTATCTTTCCCTCTGATTGCAATAACCCTATACCTATAAGACTGAAGACTAAGCGCCCATCGCATCACTCTGGAGTTGATCACTTTAGTCTTGTTGAGATAAATCAAGGGTTGATGGTCTGTCTCAATCAGAAATTCTTGTCCATAAAGGTAACGCTGGAATTTGTTGATTGCCCAAACTATGGCCAGACATTCCTTTTCAATGGTTGAATACTTACATTCGCTCGGTTTCAGTTTACGGCTAGCGTATGCTACTGGAAGTTTCAACCCAATCTCATCGTCAAGCTGCAAAAGAACGGCACCAATACCACCATCTGACGCATCTGTCTGAAGAATGAATGGTTTAGCAAAGTCTGGAAGTTTCAAGATAGGTGAATGCATTAGCATTTGCTTAAGAGTATTAAAGGCGTTTTCCTGTGGTTTATCCCAAACTATTTTGTTAGGAGCGCCTTTCTTTGTGAGATCTGTAAGAGGCAAAGCAATTACAGAAAAATTTGGTACAAATTTCCTGTAAAAACTTACCAAACCAAGAAAAGATCTAAGCTGGCGTTTCGTCTCTGGTCTACTTGCGTCTTGAATAGTCTTTACCTTTTCAGGATGTGGTTTTAGTCTATCCTCACCTACAATGTGTCCAAGACATTCTAAACTGCTGTACCCTATTGAACATTTTGATGGTTTGGCTGTCAAATATGCATCTCGCAACTTACTGAAGAGTTCCTCGAGTATCTTCAGATGCTGGTCTAAATCAGGTGTGAATATGATAACACCGTCAATAAAATTATCAATGCTCTGCATACCACAAAGTAACTTACGCATAAGTCTTGAGAATGTCGCTGGAGCTGTTACTAATCCAAACGGCATAACTCGGAACTGAAACAAACCTTTGGATGTTTGAAAGGCTGTCTTTGGCTTTGAGGATGCAGTAAGTGGAACTTGCCAGTAACCTTTGGACAAATCTAGTTTTGAAAACACTTTGTGATTAGCAAATTTTGAGAAAATCTCTTCAGCGTTAGGCATTGGTTCAGCGTCAAATTGAGAACAAGAGTTAATAGCCCTAAAATCTACACAAAAGCGAAACGTATTGTCCTTTTTCTTAACAAGTACAATTGGTGAACAATAAGGACTGTCTGAGGGCTCAATCATGTTCAACGCAAGCATTTTCTCTACCTCTTTATCCACAGTATCTCTCATTGCAAATGGTACTGAGTACGACTTACTTCTGATTGGTTGATCTGAATTAGTTTTGATATCATGCTCAATCAAGTGAGTGCAACCTGGAACGTCAGAGAGAACATCTGAGAATTTATTCAAGAGTGAAATTACTTTCCTTCGGTCATTACCTGACAGTTCTGGATTAACATCGACGCTTTCTGGTCCTTCCGCATTCCCTGAACATGGAATATCATCTGTCTCTTCCTGTTCATCTGCCGTACAATCAATCACAGCGGAGCTGACAATTGCGTTGACCTCATGATCTAAGTCTTCTTGAGCAGTGTTCCTGTCAAGGTATTTCTTTAACATGTTGATATGAAATGTTTTCAACTTACCTCCCATGCTGATCTGATAATCTACCTTGTTTACCTTCTTTATTATGATAAAGGGGCCCTTCCACTGCAGTTATAATTTATTGGAATCTGTGGGTAAAAGAACCAAAACCTTATCACTTACTTTCAAATGTCTAGCTCTTGCTGATTTGTTGTAGTATTTTGTCTGTTTTTTAGCTGCCTTCTCCAGGTTTTCTCTCGCTAGTGCAGCTGTTGATTCTAGACGCTCTCTTAAGTCCAATACATACTCGTAAGTTGTTCTTACCTTAGGATCTTCGACATCTCTTGTCCACAGTTCTTTGAGGATACTTACCGGTCCCTTGACATGCCTTCCAAAAACTAACTCAAACGGGGAAAACCCTGAACTCTCCTGTGGGACTTCTCGGTACGCAAATAGAACTGGATTTATATATCTGTCCCAATCTCGGGGACAATCTGCAGAAACTCGTTTAAGCATTTGTTAGAGAGTATCATTAAATCTTTCGACCATTCCGTTCGTCATAGGATGATAAGGTGTTGTGATTATCTGCCTGACTGAAAGCAAACGACTTACCTCTCTCATGAGTGCTGATTTGAACTGACTACCCATGTCACTTAAGATTTCGTCAGGTATACCCATCCTTGAAAAGATCTCCAAGAGTCCCTCCGCAACTCTCTCAGTTTCTATTGATGCCAGAGGAATGGCTTCTGGATACCTAGATGCGAAATCAATTAAAGTGAGTATATACCTGTTTCCTTTATCTGTGACCGGATGGATTGGTCCAACAATATCTACTGCGACTCTTTTGAACACTTCGTCTATGAGAGTCATCTTCTGCAAAGGATGTCTGGTAACTCGGCCTTTGTGCACTGTTCTCTGACAAATATCGCACGGGTGACAGAAACGCTTAACATCAGACTGTATTCCGGGCCAATAAAATTCTGTAAGAATCCTAGAAGTTGTGCGACAAGTTGCTAAATGTCCTGACATAATGGATTCGTGCGCAAATTTCATTACAACCTCTTTAAATTTCTGTGGTACCACAAGTTGAATAAAAAACTTACCGTTTTCATCTGTTGATTGATACTTACTGTAGATTAATCCGTTTTTCAGAAACCAGCGTATTTTACCTCTCCGTTTCAGTACCTCCTGGTCTGCTGCTACCCATTGTCGAATCTTTCCAAGGGTTTCGTCTTTCTCCTGTGCGATCTTAATATCATCTGGTCTTATATTGTCCTTCACAATCTCTGGGACTTGAAGTTGAGGATATGGTTTCTGCTTTTTCTTGACTTGTTGTCGAGTCTCTACTGCATGTACTTCAGTCCACAGCGGATCTGGATCATCAGGCGATCTTACCTTATCGATGTTGCCGATGATGAGATCATAAATAGGGTTATCCATGCACCAAGCGTCAAAAGTTCCTGTAATATATGGCATATCGATAGAAATAGTAGCTACAGGTACCTTGACTGAAGATCCATCTGCTAGAATGCAGGTTTGAAACTTGTTTCTTATGAAATTATCCTCACCAACTTTGCTTTTTCTCACAACTATACCTGTACATCCCGTGTCTCTCAAAACTGTTACGGGCATACCTTCGGCATATCCAGCTGAAATAGGTAAGTTATTTTGCTTCTGATAGCAAGATGAAGAGACCTTAGTTGAAAAGTCACCTGCGTCAGAGTTTGTTACATTGCTTGTTGGTAAAGAAGAAACAAAACTTACATGTACCTTGGCCACGGTTTCATCTTTTGCAGTTTCCTCATTTATAGAATTCTCCGATTGCTTATGAGTAACTGAACTAACCTTTGGCTTGTTTCTGCATTCTGAAGCTATATGGCCTATATTATGACATACATAGCATCGTCTTTCTGATTTTGGAATAAATGCTGGCTTAGCTTGATATTTTCTCTCACCTTTACTACTTCTGTGACTGTCATGATCGTGTCGATCCTTCTTTTGTGGTCGGTAATCAATGCTTTTGTCGCTAGTGAATGTTACAGCATTAGCCAACCTTGCTTCCCGGTATTGATCTGCTAAACAAGCCATGTCTTGAATGGATTTTGGTATTCGCTCTTTTAGGAAAAGAGTTAAATCCCTATTACAAACATGCAAAAACTGATCTCTTAGAACCAAATCAAACAAAGCTTCAAAAGTTTCAGCAATGTTTGCCATTCTCAACCATCTTTGCAGATAATTAATAAGTCTCACAGAAAACTGAATGAAAGTCTCACCTTCTTCTGGCCTGGAAGATCTAAATTGTCGCTTAAATCCATCGTCAGTAAGGTCATAGCGCTTAAGTAAAGCTAATTTTAACTTATCGTAGTCAAGAGCTTCCTCTGAAGGTAATAGAGCATACACATCTAATGCCTTACCTTTAAGAAGTGCGCTGAGATTTGTAGCCCATGTTAACTTAGACCATTTCTGTGTTTCTGCGTATCTCTCGAATCTCCTAAGATAACTATCCATGTCATCTTTTCCATCTGCAAATGCTGGAATCTTTGGTCCTTTCATTTTTACACTAACCTCATCACTTGGATCACTAATCTTTAGTTTCCCTTTCTCCTGGAGTACTTCCATTTCAAATTGGTGGGAGATTTGTTGAAGTTTCAATTCTTTGTCATACTTCTTTTTCATTCGTTGATACTCTAATTCCTCTTTCTGTCTTTCTCTTTCTGCTCGTCTTTCTTCTCTTTCGATGTCCTGTTGGGTTCTTACAAATTCTCTCAAATCATCTTCCTTATAACCTAATGATACCCCATAGTCAATGAGTTCTTTCAACCTTTCAGCCATGATTAAAGGATACACAAAAGTCAAGAGTACAAAAGTAAAGATACAAACAAAATCAAACTTGGGTGAAACAACTCAAAATTTCCGAACATACCTAGAGTGGTATTCACCTGAGTCTGTGTCCAACATACATGCACTTGGGTACGCCAAACATGCACATATTTTATCTAATATACACATTTTACACTGAAACCACTTACTACTTACACAACACAGACACACAACTTACTGAAGTGACTTCTTATCAGTTTGGAAATTTTGGAGTTTCAGCAGTGATTGAACCTCTGGGTCCAGATTAACTCTCTACATAGCATATCTACAATACAAAAGTACAGCATATGATTTTTTTTTTTTAATACAAAAATTAAATTAAAGACAGATTGATAGGAAGAAGACAGGTAGAAATCAAATTGTGTTTTATTCTCAATTCAATTTGAAGTTTAATTTTCACAAAACAAATAATATTCTCTTTATGATATCAATAAGTTTTTTAGCTAGTGTTGTTCTGTGATTCTCCCCAGTCCTTGTTCCTATTTTGTTCTTGAACCAGATGACTGCTGCAGCTTTAACTTCGCTGAAGTTGGAGCCAAAGTGTCATCATCTGTCTCTCATCAGAAGTTTGGAGCTAGTTGCTAACAATAATGAAAAGAGACACAAACACAACTTTAAATTTAAGTAACAATTCAGAGGAAAAATCCAACGTTGAAAGGAATGTTGAAATAAGAAATGTAGTTGTTCAGCTGCTGTTGCCGGAACCAAATTATCGCTAACAATGTTGCTGGACAATGAATGATACAGTTGCTGCTTTTGTCATAGTTGTAGATGAGCCGTTGAATGAGATACACGAATGGATTAGCTCTCTATACAGAATCCGTTTTTCCTTTAGGAATCGTATCCCTGGAAGAATCCTATCCCACTTCTGACACCATTGTTGCCGGATGACCAAGCGTCTTATCCATTCTATTTGAATACTCAATAAAACACAAGTCCAAAAAGGTTTCAAATGTATATTCTGGTTTTAAAATTACAATGATTCACTGGAATCGTACACGTGGTGTTCCTCGTTGCGCACACTCCCCTCTCGGGTTTTGGGACCTCAGAAGCTGAGTGTCTGTATCTAATAAACTTTTGCTTAGGAAATATTGTTGAAATTATCTCAAATTTAACTGGCTAAGGATGGAATTCACACATTTACAAAATTATCAAAGACCCGTGCATGTTCTAGCGTGACACGGCAGGAAAAGAGGGTGATTTACTCAACCGTGCCTGTTAAATAGCCTCGAACAATTGAGGCTCCATAAAGGTTAAAATAGTAGAGGTCACCTACAGGATAACTGAGTATTATACAAATAAAATCATACATGTAGAGTAAATGTGACAGTAGGTCGCGGGTTTGCTGACGTCATTAAAACTGGGTACGCAATTTATATGATTTATATAACTTTCTTGTGCACATCTGATTATGACGTCACGGTGAGAAAGGGAAAATTTCAGTACATAATCTAGCTGTAACATTTGTTGAAATAATAGTTAAGTGTAACATATTCATAGAACATGCTGAAGTTATAAAAATAATAAAGGCTTATTTTGATTCGAGTGACCATCACTGAAAGTGTTAGAAGCGTTTCATTACGTATCATCAATCGCATCTTCTCGGGTCTATTCTGAGAGCACATGTACTTGTTTCGGAAATAAATTTTAACCCTTGTATCATGTATGATTTATAAATATTAAATACCGGTATTAAATGAGTATAATTTTAAAACAGGTTATCTAACTCCGAATTACACTCGATACCCCCTCCTCAGAAACGCACTCATTTTATTGTACACTTTCAGTGGAAATGCACTAAACAAACTGTTTATTAGCATTGTCTTCTACGATAATTTATCTACACAACCACATATGGCATGCATGTTTTGTTTTTTATTTATCTCCGTAAACAGCGTCAAAACTTTGAAGGTCGAACTCAATTATGAAACGGTATGTGCTAATCTCAGACTAATGTATATAAAGGTTGATCACAAATTAAAAACTGCTAAGGCACAGGTCTCCGGGGTAATCTTAATGAAACATAAACTAAATTATATACCGGGTATATTATATATACATTTTTTGAGCGGCATTGACCTCTTGTAAATAACCACAGGCACGTAGGATATGACCCCCTCCCTCCTTTCCATTTTTTACTTCCTAACGCCAGGGATGAGTAAACTTTTTCCATTTTTTTTAATTTTTACTCCACCCTATATGTGCACGTTGATTTAAGGTAGTTCTATACTCGGCACTAAATGGGCTCAATCTTTAAAAATCTGCTTTTATAAGATAGACATACATCCCAGCAATGGATAGACACAAGAAAAATTATATGTCAACATGTTCACTTTTCCGCTATAGCCTATCAAGTATATACCCCGAAATGTAAAATACTGAAATTTTACCTATCTTAGATTTTGTTGTATATAAATTAATTTAAGTCTACATATTCAACTTTAATACCCAAAATAGAGTAGAAACATGTTATTAAACAATAAAATATCATTGTTTTGCATGAATTATTATAAATAGATGAACTTTGTTAGGCTATTGTATCAAAATCTGATGTGAGAAGATATGCTTCCCAGGACAATCTTGGTCATTTAAAAAAAATTATGGACTCAAACTTCGTAAATTTGCATTATTTTTACTAAATTATATTTAAGAAAAATAATAAGCTTAAAAAATTATATGTTGACGCATTAATTTTCGTGGTATGAGGTCTACACTTAAGGTACCCCCCTACTTTCTTTCTTCCAGAAGTCATGAATTGTCACATATTTCTGTAATACTGTTAATGTTTGAGTGTATACTTGTATTTACAAGCTTGTGCATTATTTAAAACAATAATCATACACACCCAAAACCTATTGTCCCTAAAATTTATCTTATTTTACTCGAAAAATAAAACACACTTGTCTTTAAATTGCAGACGATGAAAATGAAAGTAATTCACTGATTCTCAGAAACTGGATGATTTTGTCACAGAAAGTAACAAAGTATGCTGCAAGTGAATCAACTTTTGTCAAATACTTATTCAAAAGATAATTTTGCATTGGGGTTCGTGGGTAAGCAGGTTGGGGGAGGGGGTATGTGTTTTATGCAATTATTATTATCTAAAGTAAATTTTGTAATGTTTGATTAGTAAAATTAATAAGTTTTCAAATCGTAGTCATTACTTTTCTTCCGAATTATCACTATAAGCTTCAATTTGGCCACCGACAACAGTTGCCTCGATAGTTTGATACAGTCATGTTCTGATGTAGCATGTCTATGGTCCGTGTTTTCGACGCTGCATATCAAACATGCATCATTCACAGAAATATTGTTTTATTACCTAATTATTTCTGTCAACCGAAAGTTGTTCCCAGCCTTTTCTTTTTAATTAATTTATCCTTAAACTGTACAATATGTGTTTGTTGACGCGACCGACTTCGAGCAAAATCGTTACCGGATATTTAAAATGCTAAGTAAAAGTCAAACCAATATAGTATAGTATTTTCTACCTGTATCTACATATTAGCTGTGATGGCGGAATACACAGGGAAAACACTATGAGATAAAATCCGCTCTTTATTGCGTTAGTGGTCGCCAATAATATGTAACAATTACACAAACTTACAGAGGACAATATAACACGTCTGGTCGGGTCGACGATCAGCATGGAAGAGAGTGACGATTACGTCACAGCCCGCATCACTGCCGGCCACGTGATCGGAGGCTGCTAGGGAATTCGTCCCTAGCGCCCCTAGGACCACTACATTCCTCCCCATTTTGTAAGAGGGCGTCCCAGCCCGTAAAGTAATTACAATGGGACAAACTATAATATACAAATAATAAAAATTAACTCCTAGCAGGGCCTATCTTACATACATACACATGCATTCACACAATAATAAACATTAAACATTACTGTCTCTATAATAATAAAAATCACAATTAACAGTTCATATCACACAGTCACTCATCATCCGCGTCGTCTCGGAACACCACGAGGTCCATCGTTGTAAACATCTACCAAGTGGTCCAACGTTGATACATCTGGATAGGCTCTGCTCGGTACATCTAAAGGCGACATCTAAAGTGCGGCATAAGTCATCAGGACTATCTGCTCCCAATTCAGGTAAGTTCAGGTAAGTACATCCGAGTTACCAGTCTCGGTCACGGCATACTGGTTCAAAACGGTCCCCTCAACTGAGGTCCAAAGAACACTCTGAAGTTCCTAAAAACTAGGCCCGCCAGCAAAGCGACATCCTGTCCCCTCGCTGCGGCAACTCTCCTGTACACCTCCCTGATGTGTCTGGGACCCATCGGTGCTTCAACCCCACAAGGAAATTCAGGACTGTCCGACTCGACCAGCAGTCGGTCCATAGGAATAGCTCTAACTCCCGACAACTGGGTCGCGGACATCTCCGCGATCCGACCTCCAACTCCAAAGAAAACGGGTCGGCCAGACTCCACCCAGAGTCTCACCTGCTCCGGTCCACCTGTGAAGTCACGGACAAAGATAGGTACCAGGATTGGAACAAACATCCCGTCCAACAGTGTAAGGCAATCTTGGGTAGGGACGCGGCCCAAAGGGTCGTCCGCGTTCCCCCTCAAAACCAGTATCATCGCTGTACTGAACGACGCCTGGCGGAAGAACTCCGCCAGCACAAACCTCTGACACCTCTGGGTAGACGGACCGGAATAATCCAATCCTATTTCCCCTAGCACAAAGTTCCTATTTCTACACACTCCCACAATGCGGGCTACATCTGCTTGTGTAATCAAGTCCGCCAACCCAGGGGAAATCCCCTGAGCTACGACCCAATGCGGATTACCAACCTCCGAGAAAGGTTCCTCTCGGAAACCATATGCTACATATCACTTCCTAAGCGGAGATTCCGCTCTCGAAGACAAACTCATCAATCTTCTTAGACATCACTAACGAACCTACAAAGACATGTAAGTTTATCAAACCAATG